AGTTTGAAGCTTGGCCTATTGCTGCTTGTCTCTTTGGCCGGACGCATCAAGATAATGGAGGCCTGTGGGCGCTTTCCCATCAGGTCTGTGGCTAAATGGGCTTTTATCTATAGGACTGAAGTAACTTTAGAGTCAAACTGCTTTTAAATCTCCCCCACTGATCCATGAAGCTAAAATTGCCTGTCCTGCATACACAACAATCTTTGCAAGGATGGGAACATTCCCTTTTAACAGCCATTTGAGATTTAGACCAAGGTAATATGGCGCTAAGATAATACAACCATTTTAGCTAAATTGATCGGGTGGATCTTGTCTGTCACTACTCTATGTTTCAATCAATACACTTAATCTAATATTGCACATTTTAGTATTAAATCAAGACTTTATTGTAAAACACTGCTAATGAGTGCCAACACATCTGGGGTTGTAAATTAACAGATTTTGCACCCAGTTGCTTTATGACTGTTTCAGTATGAAGATCATTTATTGGCGGCCCAAGAATAAAGAGTATTGAGGCAGACACATCTACATGTCATTTTTAATTAAGTCAGAAACGTATTAACACGGGTAAGAACCATTCAATCACTCCAGAAATAAGAGATGCTAGACGACATCCCTCCAGAAAAAAGCATGATGTCAACCCTAGACAAAGCAGAAACGCAGGGGTCCTCCTCAATCTCCATAAGTCTGTGTAAGACTAGTCTCCTAAATGCCCTCACTAGGATGGGAATGTAGTCAGGATGCTGACGGTGAAGAAGCATTAGAGATGCAGATGTTCCCCTTCTCCCCCCCTCGAGAAGCCCTAAGGCCTTGACCGAATTCATTATGGTGCCCTGTATGCTCATCCTCTCAAATACTGTTAAAATATTCACAGAAATAATATTCACTATGAATTAACACTGTACAAGAGATACACTGCCTTTAATAATATATAAATCGTTGGGTTTGAAACAAGAAGGAATATCCGATCTGAATCATGGACCTTACTGCAATATGACAAGGATGGAAGATTCTAGAAGGAATGCTGCTGCCTCTAACGTTGGTTTAGAGGAAATATCTAAATGAATATGGGAAGGCATAACTAAATTGTGAGGATGCGTGAGTAAAACAAAAAATAAAGGCAGTTGGAATTTATATATGCTGATGATGGAAGAAGTATATCTAATGCATTTATGACATTTATACTACACTATGCTTGGGTGATGAACAGCAATGACAGTACGCCTGTTTCTAGTGTAAAATCAAATACTATACACTGTGTTATGAGCATGAATATGCAGTATGTTACACAAAGCAACGATTTAAAAAAAGAATAATGTGCAAAATATGGATTTTATTTTTTTCATTGTTTTTTCATTTCATTAATTCTGAAAGCTATGTTGAAACATCTTTATTTGTCATGTGTTGTTTCATTAATTTGATTGTGGGCTCGGGTAAGACAGGAGGCACCGCCCAAGATCCAGACAGTCTACACCCGATCCACTGCACTCTCATTAATAAAGCACGGATTTATCATAGATCATCACCCCAAAAATTATTATATGACACTATATTAAAGGCTCCCGTTACATGCCATATTTTACTGTAACTCAACCTATATGATCATTCACAATTAGCCTACCATTTTTCCGTCAATCGAGCGTATAGTATGCATAATACGAAAATTATATCTTTTTAAATTATGTATTTTGTTAAAATATGGATTTTATTTTTTTCATTTCATTAATTCTGAAAGCTATGTTGAAACATCTTTATTTGTCATGTGTTGTCTCATTAATTTGATTGTGGGCTCGGGTAAGACAGGAGGCACCGCCCAAGATCCAGACAGTCTACACCCGATCCACTGCACTCTCATTAATAAAGCACGGATTTATCATAGATCATCACCCCAAAAATTATTATATGACACTATATTAAAGGCTCCCGTTACATGCCATATTTTACTGTAACTCAACCTATATGATCATTCACAATTAGCCTACCATTTTTCCGTCAATCGAGCGTATAGTATGCATAATACGAAAATTATATCTTTTTAAATTATGTATTTTGTTAAAGATAGATAGATAGATAGATAGATAGATAGATAGATAGATAGATAGATAGATAGATAGATAGATAGATAGATTTAGCGTTCGTTGGTCAAACTAAACGATCAAACAAATAAAACCCCAAGGGTAAATTGAAAGTATGACTTACCGATTTCATGGCTGCTGCCATATCATCATATCTCTCTGCCTGCTCAGCCAGCCTGGCTTTTTGAACCAGCTGCTCGCGGTCAACCATGTTGGATGGTTATGATTTGGACGATATTATTTGTTTTTTGGGGAAAAACAGTAATATTGTATGAGCTATGCAGTGCAATTCAATGAACGAGAGCCTCTCTGCAGCTGTTCCTTGCTGTCTGCGCTCGTGCCGACGGGCCAGCCTCGCCCCTCCTCACGCGCTGGAGGGCTACGTCAGGGTTCTAAACGTGGGTGCTATGGCAAGCTGGCACGACATTTATTCCTTAAAACTAACTAGGCCTGTTTGTTGGTATGTAACTAGCACTTTTTTAAGGTAAAACTTTATTATTTACATTATTATTTTAAATATTTTATTATAATTTAAATATTTTATTTTAATATTATTTATTATTTTAACAGTAAACTATGCATAATTACATGCAATATCACCAATGGGTCGCGGAAGCAGGGGGCCGCTCAGCGGGCCTGGCCTGGGCCTGGGCCCAGGTTACTTTTGAGGTCTGGTACAAATATTACATGGGATACAAAAATACATAGGCTATAGGCTCATATGTATGCACGTTTAACGCACAAACAGTCTACACAGCAGGCTACATTTCTGTGTTGCAAACTTTAAATAATAACGAAAGTATTGAGATGAATGTTTCTAGTCCGGATATAGACTTACGTTTCAAATAAAGATTGTATATGTTACATTATGCCAGTAGGTGGCGAACAGTGACTTTTAAATGTATTTGATGTCTGAATCATTCAAGAGATTCAAAAACTCCGGACGAAACTTCATATATTTATTTCAAATGATTTTTTTAAATAATGAATTAATTTAAATTAATAAATATTTTTAAATAGACTCACATTTATAAATAGAATTATAACATTAAATAAAACATTTTGTCAGAAACTCAATTAAATTACATATTTTGTTTAGTTGTCTAATGTTTTGTTTTTATAATTGTGGGAGAATCATAGCTTAAAAATGCATAGGCTAATATATCTGGCATCTAACTAATACCACTAGTACTGTTTCTAATATTAAAATGTAGTTCTGCAACCAGTGGACTGGACTATTACAATGATGTAATAGTCCTTATATGGGAGTCAAGAGGCCACATATCAGCAGTGATGTTGATGGCACATCAGAGGTCTTCTAAGAACAAATGCAATATGGGAGAATGAGTCACCTCATTACCATATCTAGCACCCCTCCTGTATAGAGTGGAGGATTTTGGGGATGACACAATTATTGTAACATTTAGGATAATGTGTCTCATGTTTTGTCTATGCTTAGAAAGGTTATAGATATCAGACTGATGGAGCAGACAAGCGACTAGGATCTTCATATGAGTCATTTTACAAAACTAGCTATTTGTATCTCTTATATGAGTTTTTTCTTTTTCATTGTTCTCTATAACTATTTAATAAGCGTCATAGATAAAATTGGCAAACATTTGGAACTACCATATACACTTCCTTTTGGAAACAGTACTAAAAATGTTTGGAGTAATTAAGATATTTTTATGTTTTTAAAAGTGTCTTATTCTCACCAAGTCTGAAAGTCTCTCAAAATACTGTAAAAACAGTAATATTTTGAAATATTATTACAACTTCAAAGAGCTATTTTGAATATGTTAAAATGTAATTTATTCATGTAATTCAAAGCTGCAGTCATCTTTTAGAAATTATTCTAGAATGTTGATTTGGTGCTCAATTATTATCAGTCATAATTTGTGCTCAAGTACTAATAATTGTTCTTATTATTATCAATGTTGAAAACCGTTTTTGTTATATATATGTATATATATATATATATATATACAGTATATATATAAAATCTTAATACATTTCAGAATTCTGAAGAATTATTTTTCTGACACTTACACTGAAAACTAGAGTAATGGGTACTGAAAATTCAACGTTTTCATCACAGAAATAAATTGTATTCTAATATATTACAGTAGAAAACTAGTTATTTTAAATTGTAATAATATTTCACAATATTACTGTGTTTTATATTGTTGATCAAATAAATGCAACCTTATATCAAATAAAGAATATAAAAAAATAAAGATGTGAGCATAAGATAATTTTTTTTTTTTCAAAAACATGCAAATAAATAAATAACAAACTTTTGACTATTAGCTAGTGTTATGAACACCTTCAATAAGTGTGTCAGAATATGGAATTGTGAAGAATATGGTAAATACAATTAGAAAATTCCAGAATAGAATAGAATAGCTGCTGTTTTACCTTACCAGTCAACAGTAGAACAGTTAGTCAAGTTCTCTCCCATAACATTTGTGTTATGGCATTTATACAATATCTCCACAATGTTTTTTGGTTTCCTTAGGTTGACCCATGCAAACCTTTTGTTGACTGTGAAGGATTGTCCTGAAAAGGTGAAAGGGACTTGCAGGGTTACTTCCGTGACAATAATGTGCTTAACAGCTAGCTCTACTTGGCACAGTTCAGAACGGATGGCTCAGCTAATCGGCAGGACTGTGCGCAACAGGACTGGGCCAAACCCACTGGCAGAGTGTTATTCCAGTTCCTCAATGCTTCAAGCCCCTTTCACACCATGATGTGAAATCTGTTCATTCACTAAAGAGTTTTGAAAACTGTCTTAAAAAATGGACTTGATAACCATTTGACGTGTCAGGTTTTTAGTTGGGGATGTCTCAGGTAAAACTGATTCATTTCCTCCAAGAGGATTAGTCTGAGGCAGATTAGCCTGGCTATCACTCTTAATGCTAAAATTATAGTGAGCATATGGGTGTTTGCTAACCACCTGTCTGCCTACTGAGGGGACATCAGTTGGACAGTCGCAGGCATAGAGGAAGAAGTCTGGAATGATTGGGCTGGATGTCTATCTGTATCCAGATGGTCTTAGGGTTGCTACACCAGAAGATACAGAGAAGTGGGAATCCGAGAGACATATGTTTGAACCGAATATTCGTCTCTTTGTGGCTCTGTTCTCATACAACCCTGCGGTGATGTCACCAAACCCTGAAACAATGGAGGAGGAACTGCCTTTTGAACAAGGACAGATCATTAAAGTAAAGATATTTATTTTTGGGATCTTCTCGTATCTTGATTAAATATTATTCGGAACTCCATAATAAGTTAAATTTAACTTTCGCATCTTACATGAACGTACTAAATGCAATTTCTGTCCTACTTGGCTCATGCTGTGATGTGCTCTTTTGTAGGTATATGGAGATAAAGATGCTGACGGCTTCTATAGCAGAGAGACGGATGGACGCTTCAGTTTTGTGCCGAGCAACATGGTTTCTGAGATTCCTTTGGAAGAAGGAGAGCTCAAACTTCGTCTGTTCCAGCAGGGTTTTTTACCAGAGGAGACGCCTTCCATAGGCAAGCATTTACATTTATATCTCTTTCTGTTTGTTTGATTAACCTAGCCATATATTTAAAGGGGTCATATGATGCGATTTCAATTTTTCCTTTCTCTTTGGAGTGTTACAAGCTCTTGGTGCATAAAGAAGATCTGTAAAGTTGCAAAGACTAAAGTCTCAAATCCAAAGAGATATTCTTTATAAAAGTTAAAACTTGTCCACGCCCTCCTAAAACGCCTCGTTTAAACACGCCCCCACATGTCTACGTCACTATGTGGGAAGATTTGCATAACGCTGCCCAAATGTTCACGCAAAGAAAGAAGGCGTAACTTTTATTCTCGCTGTAGTATTGTTGCCGCCGCCATGTCGTGAAGGCACTGTGTTTCATTGTGAAAGCAAAACTACTTTGTTTGGCCTTCCAAAAGAGGACGATATCTGCTTCATCATGCCTAGAGCTGATCTGTGCTGGTCGCTGAGAAAATACATAAACTTCACGCTGTGGATCGCCAGATCGGCTTTCACCGTGGACTAAGCGGAGTCCAGCCCGGGGTCGCCACATGTGGTTGCTGCAAGCCTCCTTCGTCGAATCCGCCGGCAGCCGCTCACTCAAGCCGCTGTGTGTTTCATTGTGAAAGTGAAACTACTTTGTTTGGCCTTCCAAAAGAGGACATAATGTTTCTATAAAGTGGGGCAGTTCCAACTTTGCAAGGACAGTCTGGCGCTTCTGACTCACAGCCTGTAAGTACGTTTTTTTATATTTAAAGAATTTGCCACTGATGATTCAAACGAGAGATTTGAGAAATGTAGAGTAGCGCTTATTGTTTGTCATTTCTCCGATCACAAATGCAGACATGGTTTTATGTTTACGCGGCGCAATACGCAACGCAAAGCGTAAAAAGACAGTATAAGTCATTATAATCCGTAATTATGTCCCCACTGGATGCAACAAATGCCTCGTTTGTAATGGATTTTATTGGTTTTGTCTCGTCGCGCAGGGACATATGGAAACACGGTATGGTTAGGGTCGTAACATTTCCGTCACACGCTTGAGGTATTCGGCCAATCACAACACACTGGATAGCTGGCCAATCAGAGCACACCTCGCTTTTCAGAACGATGAGCTTTGTAAAAATCGACGCGTTTCAGAAAGGCGGGGCATAGAGGAGAAACAATAATGTACATTATGTGGAAAATAATGTGTTTTTTGAACCTTAAACCGCATAAACACATTGCATTACACCAAATACACAAAATAATGTTCTTTTTAGCAACATCATATGACCCCTTTAAGTTCGGCCATCCTACACACACACACGTGACTGACTGCTCGCTCGCACCAACAGGAGGAGGAGGGTCATTATGACCCCTTTAAACACTTTAAAAAATAGTACACTTTTATGGATTTAGGGATTGAGTCGTGACTACTTTGTACTTTTAATTTTAGCACCTAGCGAAACATCTAGTGTGCCGGATGGTGTGAAGGTCCACAGGATGGTGGCTATTTTTGATTATGACCCATGGGAAAGTTCTCCAAACATGGATATTGCGGTTATTGCTTTTTCCAATAAATACGTACAAAATACAAAAAATTCCTGTTTGTTAATTGACAGCATATTATAATATAATACAAACAATATATAATCTATCTATCTGTCTATCTATCTATCTATCTATCTATCTATCTATTCATTCATTCATTTATTCATTTACTCACACATGTTAGATATGTATTGATTTATTGATAGCTAGTTGCTTGAACTAGCCTATTAGACTATTAAATACATATACAATAATTGAATTTTAAAATATCAAACAAAATTTTAAATCTGTGTGTTTTGGTTGTTTTCTTCTTTAGGATGAGCTTCCCTTTCGTGCAGGAGACATTATATATGTTTTTGGAGAAATGGACAGTGATGGATTTTATTATGTAAGTATTAGGACTCTGTCTACCACGCATGCGTTTTTGTAAAGGTCGTAAGTTAAAGAATGACTGTTTTATATTGATCCAGGGAGACCTACATGGTTACCGAGGTCTTGTGCCATCAAACTTTTTGCAAGCCCTGCCTTGGGACTAAAGGAACTGAGCAATCAGAAATCAGGAACAGGAGAGTGACCTCAGAGTGTGAATAGAACCCACTTTACTGAATCCAACTCCAGCTCCAGCTTTTTTTTTTTTTTACATATAACGTGTCTTGTTTCCTGTAATGTGCATGACGTATCATGTCTCTAAACGCACTTGACCTTTCCACTATGCTTAGCATCAATTGAATACATAAAAGGAAATTAATTTCTGATTTATACAAGAGCTTTTGATAGCAGCTAGTGCATTATAGCCTTAAAAGACTGATAATGGTAATTTAAGAATTATTGTTTTATATTGTTTTATGTGTCTTCTTTTCAATACTGAGCTATTTTTGTAATGTCCTTCCTGTACGCAGCAACTGCACTGGTGTTAGTTTAACAACAGCACTATATGTTTTACACACACACTTACGCAGTTCAGCTTCATTTTATTACTGTTTCATGAATTCAAGTTGTTTGATACAAGTTAACATGCACATATAAAGACGAATGCACTCAAAAACATTATACAATCAGTCTTGAAACACCATCTTTATTCATATTTAATAAACAAGACATTCAGATTCAGCATCATTTGGTTCTCCATAAGATCATCCTTCGCAGCAAACAGTACACTCATCCATAAAGTAGGAAACACTACACTGTGTAGAGACCTTTAGTAGTGCTGTCTACTTTATGAGTGACTGCACTGATGTTCCCGCCTCTTCTCTTCGCGCTCCAATCCTTTTTTTGCACGCTTCCTCTTATCTCCATGTGCTCCGAATGTTCATTTTACAGCTATTTGTTAAACCTAAAATTAAAATTAGATTAAAATGATGTAATTAAATAAGTCAGGTCATGTTTTAATATGGTTGGATGTTCAGCTGCATCAGCTTCAATTGTTCATAGTGAGTCACTGTACATCATAAGGAAGTTTAGAATCATTATTTTTTGCCTGTGCTGTAGTTAAAAGTTAAATATTACATGTGTAATTAACTAATCTAAAAAAAAAAAAAAAGCAATGTATAATGCCTCCACTTTTGCTGCTTTGTATAAAAAATGTATGTGAAATGGATTCAGTGTGAACCATTGGAATTGACTATTAAAGCTTGATCTAGTTAAAAAAAATATTTTGATGTTTTACTAAAAAAATTGAGTGTATTCACTTTTGTTAATGATTCATTTCTATTAGTAAGTTCTAGCAAATTCACCTAGTTACATTCACTTACATCAAGCAGTTTACCATCCTTTATCATTTAACCAAGTTCATAAAACCAGAAAAATAGTCACATTTATCCAATGTTTTAGATTAAACTGAAGAGCAGTGACTTACCAGTTCTCTGCCTGCTTGATCCCGGAAACAACAGCGAAAAGAGAAAGAAGTTGTCGCCTTTTAACACTTTTTAGGCCACATGGTGCAAACCACAGGAAGAGGCCCTGCGGTGGAAAATAATGTGTTTTTTGAACCTTAAACCGCATAAACACATTGCATTACACCAAATACACAAAATAATGTTCTTTTTAGCAACATCATATGACCCCTTTAAACACTTTAAAAAATAGTACACTTTTATGGATTTAGGGATTGAGTCGTGACTACTTTGTACTTTTAATTTTAGCACCTAGCGAAACATCTAGTGTGCCGGATGGTGTGAAGGTCCACAGGATGGTGGCTATTTTTGATTATGACCCATGGGAAAGTTCTCCAAACATGGATATTGCGGTTATTGCTTTTTCCAATAAATACGTACAAAATACAAAAAATTCCTGTTTGTTAATTGACAGCATATTATAATATAATACAAACAATATATAATCTATCTATCTGTCTATCTATCTATCTATCTATCTATCTATCTATTCATTCATTCATTTATTCATTTACTCACACATGTTAGATATGTATTGATTTATTGATAGCTAGTTGCTTGAACTAGCCTATTAGACTATTAAATACATATACAATAATTGAATTTTAAAATATCAAACAAAATTTTAAATCTGTGTGTTTTGGTTGTTTTCTTCTTTAGGATGAGCTTCCCTTTCGTGCAGGAGACATTATATATGTTTTTGGAGAAATGGACAGTGATGGATTTTATTATGTAAGTATTAGGACTCTGTCTACCACGCATGCGTTTTTGTAAAGGTCGTAAGTTAAAGAATGACTGTTTTATATTGATCCAGGGAGACCTACATGGTTACCGAGGTCTTGTGCCATCAAACTTTTTGCAAGCCCTGCCTTGGGACTAAAGGAACTGAGCAATCAGAAATCAGGAACAGGAGAGTGACCTCAGAGTGTGAATAGAACCCACTTTACTGAATCCAACTCCAGCTCCAGCTTTTTTTTTTTTTTACATATAACGTGTCTTGTTTCCTGTAATGTGCATGACGTATCATGTCTCTAAACGCACTTGACCTTTCCACTATGCTTAGCATCAATTGAATACATAAAAGGAAATTAATTTCTGATTTATACAAGAGCTTTTGATAGCAGCTAGTGCATTATAGCCTTAAAAGACTGATAATGGTAATTTAAGAATTATTGTTTTATATTGTTTTATGTGTCTTCTTTTCAATACTGAGCTATTTTTGTAATGTCCTTCCTGTACGCAGCAACTGCACTGGTGTTAGTTTAACAACAGCACTATATGTTTTACACACACACTTACGCAGTTCAGCTTCATTTTATTACTGTTTCATGAATTCAAGTTGTTTGATACAAGTTAACATGCACATATAAAGACGAATGCACTCAAAAACATTATACAATCAGTCTTGAAACACCATCTTTATTCATATTTAATAAACAAGACATTCAGATTCAGCATCATTTGGTTCTCCATAAGATCATCCTTCGCAGCAAACAGTACACTCATCCATAAAGTAGGAAACACTACACTGTGTAGAGACCTTTAGTAGTGCTGTCTACTTTATGAGTGACTGCACTGATGTTCCCGCCTCTTCTCTTCGCGCTCCAATCCTTTTTTTGCACGCTTCCTCTTATCTCCATGTGCTCCGAATGTTCATTTTACAGCTATTTGTTAAACCTAAAATTAAAATTAGATTAAAATGATGTAATTAAATAAGTCAGGTCATGTTTTAATATGGTTGGATGTTCAGCTGCATCAGCTTCAATTGTTCATAGTGAGTCACTGTACATCATAAGGAAGTTTAGAATCATTATTTTTTGCCTGTGCTGTAGTTAAAAGTTAAATATTACATGTGTAATTAACTAATCTAAAAAAAAAAAAAAAGCAATGTATAATGCCTCCACTTTTGCTGCTTTGTATAAAAAATGTATGTGAAATGGATTCAGTGTGAACCATTGGAATTGACTATTAAAGCTTGATCTAGTTAAAAAAAATATTTTGATGTTTTACTAAAAAAATTGAGTGTATTCACTTTTGTTAATGATTCATTTCTATTAGTAAGTTCTAGCAAATTCACCTAGTTACATTCACTTACATCAAGCAGTTTACCATCCTTTATCATTTAACCAAGTTCATAAAACCAGAAAAATAGTCACATTTATCCAATGTTTTAGATTAAACTGAAGAGCAGTGACTTACCAGTTCTCTGCCTGCTTGATCCCGGAAACAACAGCGAAAAGAGAAAGAAGTTGTCGCCTTTTAACACTTTTTAGGCCACATGGTGCAAACCACAGGAAGAGGCCCTGCAGTCGCTGTCTTAAAGAAGCACGAATGCACGCCTATTGGACTACAGCGAGTTTCGTTCGAAGACGGACTCGAATCAATTCCTTTTAAGGGCATTTTAACCGATAAAAGACAGATCAGAAATGAGAGAAAAAGCACTTGGTCTTTAGCATACATAAAAATCACACAAAGAAATAAAGAGGAAGTCTAGTAAACATGTGATCAGATTGCATCAGGCTTCCACATAGTCTGACGGCGTGGCTTTAAAAACATGATATTCCATCATTTTAAAAACAGCGGTGCTGGTCGGTGAGAAAATATCATCGGTGGAAGATGTTACACTTGTTTTGTGTGTGTTTTTATGAATAGCTTTCTATTAACTTGAATATAATCCTGTTGGTGGCACTTGTAGAGCTCTTTCCTGAGGGGGAGGGGTGGTTGCTATGTTGTACAAAACCACACTGTTTCATCAGCATATTACATATAATTTGAGTCCAATATGAGGGTGTGGTATTGTGTCATATAAATGTGCGACAAGTGTAATTCAAAATCATGGCTTGCTAATTGTACATTAAGATGCTGATAAGTAAAACAGTTATAGATCTTTTGAAATATTACATGCATAGCCTGAAGTGAGATTAGCGAATACAATGTGGCATCAGACACTCTTTCTTCTGTGTCACTTTCCTCCGATGCTTGAATTAAACACTTTAGTCCCAGTCTCCCCTGAGTGCGTGGTAGTTTGATAAACAGGAGGCCGCTCTCTTATCCTCCTGAACATGATGTACACGAGATGGACTTGTTGTCTAGACAACCCAAACCTCAAACTCTCGTTTGACACGCACAGAAGGAAGTGGGGGATGTGCAGACACTTCTCTGTGATGTACAATGATAATGTACCTAGTGTTGTAAAAAAAAAAAAAACTAGTCAAACATGATTCAGGACATCCCATGATATGTAATATGTAAGGTGATTATTCAAATATTGGCAGTTTTAGCGCTGGTGAAGTTTAGAAAGTAAACATACCTTTTTTTTTTTTTTTTACATTTTCACTAGTTTATTTAATTTGTCTAATAATAATGTCCAACTGTGTGTATATAATACATGAACCACAGGAGAATTCTGTCTTTATTTCAGTTTAGTTTAGTTTAATTTAGTCATGATCATTTCCTCTGTATCATTTCCAGCTCATCTCATGTAATGTGTTATGTTCAATAGTGTTCTTAACGACTGAGAAACATTTTTGGAGCAAAATGGCCTTTTTCCTGCTTGCTAATTTCATGGCTGGCAGTTCACAGTAACACTTTAGTATAGGGACCAGTTCTCGCTATTAACTAGTTGCTTATTAGCATGCCTATTATTAACATACTGGCTGTTTATTAGTGCTTATTCTGCATGACCATGTTCTACATCCCTTATCCTACCCAATACCTAAACTTAACTACCTTGCTAACTATTAATGAGCAGCAAATTAGGAGTTTATTGAGGCAAAAGTCGTAGTTATTTTTTTCTTTTGAAATATAGTCATTCATATTTTTTTTACTATTAAATCATATAATATTTTATGATTGCACATTTGTGTCTGTGCCAAGGGTAAAACAATAAAATCTACACATAAAAGGTATGCAAACATAGTTAACAAAAAAAAATGATAGCACAGAGATACCTAAACTAGGGCCCGCGGGCCAAAGTTGGCCCAAGATGACCTTTGATTTGGCTCTCCTTGCCATATTATGCCATAAAAATAGGAGGGACAATGCCATCTTCATTTCTAATTTCTCTTTGTGTTTTAGCACTTCTTGTTTTATTTTTGCTTTGAACTTTAGAGAATATACCAGAAGTGAATTCGATTTTTCATAATGCAAAGTTTGGGCACCTCAGTGATAGTGGCATGATTACAAGTTTAAGCCAGTTCATTTGTTATGTGTGACCTTCATATATCAAAAAGAAAAGAGTTGTCATTTGAAGATCTATCAGTTGTAATAAAAATCAATACCCGAGACATAAAAGTTCCTGAAGCTGACAAAAAATAAATCACTTTATTTCAAAACATTTGCAGCAGCTTGCATATCCAGCATGTGTGTGTGATACACTAACGTCAGAGCTTATGAAAGCTGAAGGTTGCATCTAAAGGTCAAATCTAGAGGACATTGTTTGCCTCCCTTTTATCAGACACACAAATCACTCATTATGCAATCCACTGAGACCAATGGATCCATTATCAACTCCACCATGAACTTTATAGTGTTTTACAGCTGTTTCTGTGCTAACAACTGTGTCCTATAAAATGTATTCTCACTGTTCAAGCAACAGTGGCTGAGGACATGCTTTCTACACCTATTTCTGTACAAAACAAGATTAAGTCCTGAAATAAGTACCATGTATAGATAGCGTCTTTTAACTAACTGCCTGAAATGATGGGTATTATCCAGACAGGTTTAGATTAGGGTTAATTCAATTATCATCTTTGCCTTTAGTTTGTAAGACAAGCTAAATGCCTTCACTGTAGCTGCATTTTATAGTCATTAAATACACATTTTTTTAAATTTATGAAGATTCAGTCAAAGATTTCAGACATTTAAAATGCAATCAACATCAATCAGTAAATTGTCATTTAAGTTCCCATAAATTATGTTTGAACAGAAAACTTTTACATCACTGTTAGCTTAATCTTTGGCCTACATCACTGTTTGTTGCTGTATTTTAAATAGGGTCGCCATACATCCTCATTTTCACGTACATGACTTGGCCTGGATTTCTAAATTGGCTGAAAAGTCCGGTTTTGGCTTTGTTTTCCTATCTTTTTCATGCTTGGTGATGGTAATGATTAAAAAGCAGTTTGACCAATAGCGTGCAGGTATTGTATATAATCAACCTATTGTGGCGTGCGAGAAGGTGGAATCTACCTACGGTATAAGGACTGCAATATGAAAAAAAATATATAATTTTTTTAGGCAATTTGGAAATCCCGGCCAAGTCAGGATTTTAGGTACAGTCTAAATCAGGGGTGCCCAAACTCGGTCCTGGAGGGCCGGTGTCCTGCAGAGTTTAGCTCCAACCCCAACGAGTTTGGGCACCCCTGGTCTAAATGTTTTATGACCCCAAATATGCTGTCTCAGAGTCACCACTAGATGGCGTGACTATTTCAAATCAGAGTCTGTATAACTACGATCTGCCATACATTTTATTCACAGGTGTATTTAAATGTTACATTATGCTCAAAACCTGGTAATGAAATGTAACTTTTTTATTATGTTGTCAGTCACTTCATTTAACTGTTGTCACGTTTGCTTGCTGCTCCAAAGGTGGAGACCACATTATTCATTAGTTAGTGATAAGCTGATAACTGATAATATGTGTTATTTGAAAACAAGTGAAAGTTTGTTATGGGTGGAGAAGATCTTTGTAATCATGACTAGATTAGAGTACATTGGACACACTAAATTACTCCTAAGTAAGAAGAATATATGATACATTCTAATAGAAATGAGTTTTATGGGTTTTGTGCAGTAACACGTGAAAGGGAGGGTCACTGTGCTCTTATAAAATGCACCTCCAAAGTATCCTATCATAAAATACATTCCCCTGCTCCTTAGCTGGATTGATAATTCAGGTGGATTTTTTTTAATCCAAATACTAAGGATGAATGTGCTCTGTTTTTCTGTACTTGCTATTTTATGCAGGTTTGCTTCAAGTGCAGGTAAGTGTGTTCAGTTGTGTAAATGTCATCTTATTTATCATAAAAACAGATTTACTGTTAAACCTGATGCTGCTGAATTTAGGTAGTCCATCAATATATCATTTTAGATGTTAATTTTAGGATAAGACCTGCGAGAATGAATACGTTTACGAAGTGCATCAAGATTTATGAGAATCTGATAATGAGAGTTGTTGATTTTTGATTTGTAAGACTGAAATTAATACAACATTATTGCATAAAATAATACATTTGTGGATAAGCAGATTTAAAACACGGAATTATACGCCTTTGAAGGTTTTAGATGAGCAGTTAAAATCTTCTTAACTGACTGACCTAAATATAGAAAACATGCATTGGTCATTGTCTGTTTTCATGTACATGTGCAATCAATTAAATGTGATTAATATATTACACTACATATAAATTCGTTTGCAATAAGTCAACTTGGTTTCCTTTCAGATTGGTGCTATCAGTCTCAGGTATCTTGCAACAATCATTCATGCATAGGTGAGCATGTGCCTTGTTCGGTGTTTTATATTAAATTATGATTTCTGAAGGATCACGTGACATTGACGACTGGAGTAATGATGCTGAAAATTCAGCTTTGCCATCACAGGAATAAATGTCATTTTAAAATATATTCAAATAGAAAACAGTT